CATTGAGGAGCAGTCCGCCAAGGGCAAGCTTGTCGTTCTTGACATCGAGATGGAGGTACGTTTTTTGCTTTATACACACCTCTTTCCCCTCCAACCAGGAATTTCCAATACTGACCGTGGAGTTTGAACATCTAGGGAGTCAAGCAAATCAAGACGTCAAACTTCCCCGCCCGCTACGTCTTCATCGCGCCCCCCTCAGAAGAAGAGCTCGAGAAGCGCCTCCGCGGCCGCGGCACCGAGAAAGAAGAGAGCATCCAGAAGCGTCTCGCGCAAGCCAAGCTCGAGCTGGCCTACTCCAAAACACCCGGCGTTCACGATCTGGTTATTGTCAACGACGACCTCGAGAAGGCCTACAAGACTCTCGAGGACTTTGTCTACAACCCTTCTCAGTAGAGAGACGATGACAACGAGGGCGGATAAGAGAGATAGAGAGCGAGAGGGAGGTTCGGATTGGATGGCATGGTGACGGGGCGTTGGAAACTGAATATCCTTTAAGAGTTCACAAATGGTCTGTGGATCTTCTTCATAGCACGGGCGGTCATTGTGAGCATATATACACACATGAGAGCGTATAAAAGCAATCCATAGAGCCACATCTACACGTGGCAGAAACCTCTGGCTATTTATTGCCGTACTCAGGACAGAGGAATACACATCACAAAAAACATCCAAGCCCGCAAGTCATAAGCCATGTCGGTTGTATTCCACGAGGTATCGAAACGAACTCTCTATCAGAGTACGAATGGATTAAAGTGTAAGAAGAAAATGGGGGTACAAGTGAAGCCGAGCTTGAAATGCTGCTTTAAAAAAAGCCGAAATAAGAAAACAGTAGAAGTGCGTCCAGCTGATGAGGCGGAAAGGGGGAATATTGGACTATTTTCGCCAGCACGAGTACTTAAACAACGACCATGAAGTCTAGAGAAGGGGGTATGGGCCTATATCCGTGCGCCACGCAAGCATGTTCGAGCCTCCCATGCGAAATCACTTCCGCCAAGTTTTACCATGGACGTAGCGGTTGCTACCTCCCCTCTGCATTACTGGTCGATGCAGCATCCGCATGCTGTCGAGGCCGTACCGTGCCTGTTCTTTTTGTTGGTCTGCGCATAACACCATGAGATTGAAAGTCGTCAGAAGCCCAGCTGCCCAAGAATATCATGGCCGTCAGGCGCCTCGAGTAGGTGGGGGTGGGATATCCGTAAACTAGTATCCGTTCATGGTCATTCGTTGAGAGTTTCGGCTGAGCTCACGGTCAGCAGCAGGGCTGATGGGTCTGCTACCGCCACCGTGCGCGCTGCTCTCCTTGAGCGCAAGCAATTGCTTGGCACGGAAAGTCTCGTAGTGAATCTGCGAGGTGGTCTCGATGAGATCCTGGAGATGGGTGCGGAGAAGGAAGTTTCTCAGGTAGACGAATTCGCAGTGGTTCTCGTCCTCAACGTTGATGACACCCCACCGGTTCTGGCGACCGCGAACCTGCTTGCCGTTGACAATGATGGACTTTTCGGAGCCGACGACGGCGAAGGGAACAAGATCCTGTGGGGTCTATTAGCAATTGGAATGTGCGCGAGCCAAATGGCATGACTGACCTTGATCTGGGTGTTCAAGCTGCGCTCCTCGTCGTCAAACTCGTCGTTGTCGTACGGGTACATCTTGAGGTTGTGGAAAGCGAACTCCTCCTTGATACGCTCCTTGAACTCCTGGCGCTCCTCGAGAGTCAGGGTATCGGACTTGGCGATAACGGGGACGACGTTGACGACATCGGACAGCTTCTTCAGGACGACAATGTCGATGGGCTTCAGGGAATGGCCCGAGGGTTGGATGAAGAAGAGGCAGGCGTGGATGCGGGTGTCTTGAATGTAACGCTCTCGCTGAGCGGTGAGCTCCTTTCGCAAGTAAGCGGAGTGTTGGTCCTTGATGTACTTGACGATGGGATCCCAGCAGCGGTCGTTGTTGACCAGGTCGCCGTATCCGGGGGTGTCGACGATGTTGAGGCGCAGACGGACGCCATTCTCCTCGATCATGTGGGAGACGGCCTGGATCTCGGTGGTAGAGCGGACGGGCTCATCGGGCATCAAACGACCCTTGGAGTCGATGAGGTGGGAGGCGAAGATGGTGTTGATCAGGGTGGACTTGCCCAGACCAGTCTGGCCTATATCATGGAAACACGAGATGCAATTAGTCGATTGCCGACGCGACATAGGGGGACAATCCAGCTTGCTAGGCCAGTGATTGTGATCTGGGGTTGCGGGGAATAACTTACCGACACAGATGACGTTGAACTGGAAGCCTCTCTTCAGGAGCTTCTTCTCAATCTGGGACGTGATGCTGTCGAAACCGACATGGGTCTGGGGGAAGATGGTTTGAGGCTGCGCCATTGTGATAGCTTTTCCGCAAGGGAGCGAGAGTGAACGGTGCGCGTGAGTGTGTGCTTTTAAGGAGTGAAGTTGAGATACGTTTCTGTGTTCCAAGAAGGGTATCTAGTACTCGAACTCGAATTGCGGCCTCGTCAAGGGGGAGGAGAGACGGAGTTGGAGAAGACGATGGGCAGGGAGAGAGGAAAAAGAGGATCACGAGGTTGGCGGATGTTTCTGAAGGACAGAAGCCGGTGAATGAGAATGAGCCCAGGTGGGAAAGTCAACCAAATGATTTGGCCCAACCAAGGGTAATTTCCTCTCTTGCTGGCACTTGCTTGCTACCCGTCCCCGTCCACCCCCCAGTGCCCCCCGTGTCCTGTCTGCCAGGCACTGGCTGTCGCCGTTGGCTGCAGCTAATAGGTTGCTCCTTCCACTCCAGCAAACAAATAATTTCCCTGCAGGGAGGTAGGTGCAGGGGGTGTGGGAGGGAAAGGGGAAAAGGGGTCTCCATCACCTTGATTGGCTGATGGCGGTCTGTGCACCTTCAAAGCTGTGATTGGCTGGCAGATCTCAATTGACAGCTCCCCGGTCGCAAGCCGTTTTTTTTTTTCCGGCTCGGAATGGAACAAGCTTGAGCCTCGCGATGTGCACGACAGTGGTGTAGCAGCAGCTTCAACGTGGATACACATTTTCACGACAGAACATCTACGCAGCCACGAACCCTCGATACCCGGCAGCAAAACAAATCTCGGCCCGAATCAATATCGTCGTCTACAAAGAACCCCGGTTCTACTTTTGGCAGTCCCTGACTTCCCGACAACCCCTCCATTAGAGCTCGAAACGATCGATCACCATCCCAAAAAATGGCAGCCATCGCCATGGGCGCGCAGCCTTTGCGCATGACCTCCCTCTTCCCCCGCATCTCCGCGCCAGTCTTCGCTCAGTCACCAAGAATTCTCTCCCTCTACACACGCCAAGTCACCAACTCGTTTCTCCCGGCGCTCTCCTTCGCGCTCCCGGCTTTCAACCTCAACATCCCCGCCTGGCTCGGCGGCATCTGGGAGTCCATCCTGCGAGCGGTACCCAAGAAGAAGACCTCTCACTCGAAGAAGAGACACAGGCAGATGGCAGGCAAGGCGTTGCAGGATGTCAAGTCTCTGTGCAAGTGCCCAGGCTGCGGCCAGATCAAGAGGCAGCACGTGGTATGCCCACACTGCCTGAGCAGTACGTCTCCCTTGCAAGAACCGTTCTCCGTACACGTCAAACTAACAACCATTGTGCAGAGATCAAGGATATGTGGAAAGAGGAGAACCCCTCAGGAAAGTTCGTTTAAATCGCCCAATGGCTGTGTAACATTTCGAGACGTGTATATTCAAGTGTACAATTGGTTAGCATACTTTGGCGTTTGGGACAATCCATCACCTTCTTCCGACGTGCCCAGCTGTCATCAGACCGGTGTTTACTAGTCATGAAATAGAGTGAAATGCCGCTGAAGCTTTGAAGCAAGGCTCGCCTCTACATCCGCCCCGAGTGGCTTGAAATTATGGGCTGATCATCAAGTGGCGAATAAAGGTCCTCGAACTTCGTCTGGAGGTTGCGGATGTGTTCATCAGCGCACCATTACAATGAATTTCAATGTGGCAAGCTCAGGGTTATCTACATGCCGCCGGGAACGTGGGCAAAAAGCAGGCGTTTGAAGGAGCCTATCACTAGGTACACGGCAAACATCACTTGATCGATATCTCATGATGGACTCGGGTACAAACAGTCGGAACTCCGACAATTGTGGAAAATATTGGCAAAACAACATCCCTATGAACGTACATCTCGTCTGTAGACCAAGGTCGATGTAGAAGAATGTCTCGAGCGGGCACGGCTTTTGAATACCAAAAGCAGAACTCGGTTACAACACGGAAAGACTGGATCCACGCGGTTTCGATGGCCGGGCCCGCTGAGATGGGGCCATCGACATCAACCTCGGTGATAGACACAGGTTACGCTGAGTTCCATTGTCTGCTGCACTCATTTGATGATGCTACTTGATCTCCCAAAGTTTGGCGCCTACAGAGGATTACTTCCTAAGCGAACTTTTATATCTGTTCCGCCACGACTCTGATGTATTGACTTTAGTCTTGCCGCCAGGTCTTTTCTTCTTTCTAGCCTCCCCTCCTTAACAATCCAGCTCCAAGAACCAACCATCGGGTACTGGTTGGCTAATAGGATCAACAAAGACATGTTCAACGGAAGTAGGGGTTGTAACCTTAGACAAAGATGGAGTCCCAGTTTTATGACACTGGGGCAAGTCCTCCATTGTTCTGTGTGAATAACATGTGGTATTTGGAACAATAAGAACCAAAGCAAAGCGACATTGAAGCCGTGTAATCTGATAAATCATGATCAACTACGGCGAGCAAAGATATGGTCATAGATATTTTTTGAGAAGTCAATCTGCAGACAAGAGTGCGAACTGTCTGTGCATCGGGATACCAAACTACATAATACAATGACTGACTCTTCTAAAGTCAACCACAACTTGCAAGTAGACACAAACACGCCTATCTGATGCAACCAACAGAGGTCGCATAGACGTGGATAGAACGGCAAAGACACCTAGTAAGTACGACTTTGGGACTGAATCAAGTTGCCGAAATGACATCACCTCAGCCGCCTCGAGACGACTCCAAGACCACCGGTCGGGCAGGCATTCCTATCCCAACGGAGCTTGTCCTGCAGATCGTGAAAGCCATTGGCCCACGACCGAAGCCAAAGCCAGCAAAACATCTAAGACTTCACGGTGCTCTCGAAGCCGAGGCCGACTCCGACTCCGATGACCTGAAGATAGTGGATGACTATTTTTACGAAAACCCTAATAAGCCAACGCTATCGAACGTTCTTGAAGGCATTACCGACCTCAAAAATTTGGCCATCACATGTAGGGCACTGTATCAAACGTTGAGGTGTGTGCTTTACCAGCGAAGTGGACAAGAGGATGACTGGTATGCTCTTCGATGGGCCAGCTTCAACGGCAACCTCCTTGCGTTGAAAGCGGCCGTCGAGGCCGGCGCATCAGTCAACTACGCCTTTGAGAAGACCGGAACCCCAATAGACATGATGAACTATGGACGCGTAGAAAGCACTTTTGGAAGCAACTTCCCCATACTGCAAAGGTCAAAGACGTACAACTTCGGCACACCCTTGCTCGCGGCGGCGTATGGCGACGTCACCGGGCGACATCAAGCAATCAAGTGGTTGCTCTCTCACGGCGCCGACCCAAACACCACAGACACCAACGGGATCACGCCAGTGCATGTCGTATGTAGATGGGGCGTACGAGCGAGCGTGACCGTCGAGCTCCTTCTCAAGAAAGGCGCAGACGCCAATGCCTTCGGCCCTCGGGGATGGACGCCCCTCCACATGGCGTGCTACGCGCGGAGATGGCATCCTGATCCAGAGGACCCTCGACGACTGTCTCAGCAGAAGCAGGACCAAGCCATGATACCTACTGCAAAGGAGCTGATCAAAGCAGGGGCTGACTTGCGGGCCAGAACGACCTTGGGCGGAGCGAAGGAGTCTGGCGAGCCCTACATCGGTGGCTTGACGCCGTATGAGTTGGCTCTTTACTGTCAGAACGTTACAATGGTTGAGTTCTTCCGTGAGCAGGAAGCGATTTCTTCGACGAGGTGAGTTGAGCTCATGGAGTAACCCGGTAAGTTTGAGAGCTGGAAATTGTAGCTTTGAGAAGCGACTGCTAGAAACCCTTGTGATTTGTACAAAGAAATCAAGGGCGTTTTGACTTATACAAAAGGCCATCGAAGGCTGAGGTAGAAACAGGAGCCATGTAAGCGGGCAGCATTGTTTCTTGAAGGCAAGTTGATATCTCTGCGAGTAGTACTGTCATTATAGAATTAAATGGAAGGAAACTACTCTTCATAAGTGTTCCCCGAGATACATGTTTAGAAGATGAAAAAAGAATGAGGTTGAATAAAGTCGGGGTGCTGAGGTAAACTGAGCAAGGGTACTTGCTGGTGCCCCTCCATTGCCCCTCCTGCCGTGCCCCAGCTGCTCTTTGCAGGGGTCTTTTCTCGCAAGTGTGTGATGTCAGCCCCCACCTTCCCGACCACATCGCGTCCATCACCTTCCTACTCACAACCGCATCAACTACAGCGGTACGAGCTTCGCATGGGCTGGGAATCATGGTACGACCTCAATTGTCTGTTCGTGTACGAAAAGGAAGCTAATTCTGCCAGTCGAAACAATATTTGACCACACACACTGTGGATAATGGTGAGCTACCTATCAGCTAGAGCTTGAGAACCTCCGAACCATCGTCTCTAGAGCTTCATCTTGCTAACATGCAGCAACGTTAGCCCACATAACCGATATCTTCAGTTTGGCCACTACCTCAAGGGCCGTCTTATCTGCAAGCGGCTCATCGACTCTCCACATCCACGACACAGCCGACCCCACGATCCCCATCACGCAATCCATCAGCGGTGCACACAAGCTGGGCTGCCACCACATCTGCACCTCCCGCAATGGTCTGGTCGCCGCGAGTGCAGGCTTCGCCGGCGAGGTGAAGATCTGGGTCATCAACAAGGACACGAGCGAGTGGAAGCTCCACTCAGAGATCACGAACAAGGCGGCCAAGGCCGGCGAGGTCTGGGCCATTGCGCTTAGCGAGGATGGAAAATTCCTGGCGGGTACGACATACGACGGCCGGGTGAATGTGTGGGACGTTGGAGAAGAGGGCACGCCCAAGATTAGAGAGTACGAGACGGGAAGCCCTGGCCAGGGAAGCTTTGGTATGTCAGTCGACTTGAGCCGTGATGGGCGATACACTGCCAGTGGCCACCAGAACGGAGCTGTCTACGTCTTCAACAATGACAACGGAAAGTTGTTGTTCTCACTACCAGGTAATACCCCCACCGAACGTTTTACTCGTAATGATTGTTTGCTAAAGAAATATCCCCAGGCCTGGTCAAATCTGTCCGCTCTGTCTCATTCTCCCCTGGAAACACCAGACTCGCTGCTGCTGGCGACTCATCCGTTATTGCTCTCTACGACATCAAGAATGGCGAGCAAGTCAGCAACATGACTGGCCACTCCTCATGGATCACATCTGTTGACTGGAACGACACGGGTGAATACTTGCTTAGCGGAGCGATGGACGGAAAGGTCAAGGTCTGGTCAGTGGAGCGTAGCGCCTGTGTCGCGACGCATAGCGAGACAGACAAGGCTTTGTGGGCTGTCAAGTGGCTCCCGAAGACTGGAAAGAACGAGTCTTTCTGTACGGCGGGCGCCAACAGGAGCATTTCATTCTATAGGGAAGCTACTGGTGCATAAAGGAGTAGGGGAACCAAAAAGTCAAGGAAGAGTCGGCGTGCATCCAAAGAACCCTGGAATATGAAACTTCCTGTGGCATATCCGAAGACAGACGATAGAGACATGTCGAAATGAACAACGAACAATCACGACGATGATGAGGACAGTGTCAGTAATGGTGCGTACCGCTCATTAGGCACAGTGAATCACGTGGTTTGGCTCCTACCTCGCGTTGCCCCGCCAAATTAAAGCCCCTGCCACCTTCCTACCTCTTTCGTCATTCATTACATCCCAGCGCTGGTTCACAGATGGCATTGCGACAACACCCATTGGTGACATTATCTGAAGCATTCACCTTCGATCAGTGATATTTCAGATTCATCAGATTGACGTTATCAATACCTCCATTTTCCGTAAATCGGTCACTCAAACTTGACGTTCTCACACCCACCCATTTAGACCCCTGCCAGCCCACGTACTTGCGACGATTCACACAATGCCAACCACCAGGAGATCAACAGGAGGAGGCCGCGCCAGACCTGGCCCAGCGCGAGGCCAATCGACCATCAGCTTCTCCAACAGAGTATCGAAGCCGGTGCCCAAGGACACCAAGAAAACAGTGGCTCTTTCCTCTGCCATTGACCGATCCGATATCGCCAAGCCAAGCAATAAGCAGCACAAGGATGTCGACGAGATCCAGATCGAAGAACCCTTGACGCCCGAGGTTGAGAAGGTTGAAGCCAAGGAAGAAGTCCCCGAAAAATCAGAGGCCGAAGTGAGGGCCGAGAAGATCAGCGACGCCCAGATCAACAAGTACTGGAAGTCGATCGAGGCTCAGCGCATTGCGCCTAGGGTGCACCAAGGTGATGTCAGTCTGGCTGAGAGGGTTTTGCGATACTTTGACGTTAGCTCTCAATATGGTGTAAGTTATCCTGACCACGATTGCTTTCTGGCTGGAGATACTGATATGACTTGCAGCCCTGCATCGGCCTCCAGCGCATGAAGCGGTGGCAGCGCGCGGAGAGGCTAGGTCTCAACCCGCCAATCGAGGTCCTTGCGGTACTTCTGAAGCAAGAGAAAAAGGGCCACGCTTCGGACCGGGCTCACTTAGACGAGCTTATGAACTCGACAGCGGTTGGAGCCTCGTAATTGTGGAGGATTTCAGCAAGCATCTACAAAGGTCAAAAAGGTCAAAAGAGTTCACCCCCCCGGTGCTGAATTGGGGGCTACATCTCTTGGTGCTCATGCTGGGATTCGAACTCGGTACTCGTATGCGCTGAGCCTGTCGTCGCGTAGGCTGGTTGGCGATTTGATTGTTGACCATTAACCATTCCACCACCCACGCCACAGTTTGACCTGACCCCCGACCTAAGGGGCGCCTGCTGTGCTGGTGACAGGAATGGGATTGAGGGGGTATATGAAGGCTCTGATTGTGGCGGAATGGCATCGGATGAAAGTTTGGTTGTGTATTCGTGGACCTTTGGGGGGTGACCAAGGGGGGAAGGCACGGATGGCTGACCGGGTGACCGTCGAGGTGCCTCCTTCCCGCGAAAACCATGTGTGAATAAGCAGACGGAGTTTGGAGTTGCTAGCGGTTCGATGGCTTTAACGGATCGGTTTTTTGAGGAGTGGAACACGAGGCATATGCGACACGAGGGTTTTGCTGTAATTTATCACACGAAATGTTCTATGCTGGACAGCAGCGAACATGAATTATACCCCTTATCAGAGGTGCTGAAGGTCTCTCGTCTCCCCATCTTGGCCATATCTTGATCAAGCTGCTCTCTACCTCAGTACCAAATACTCCGCGTTCTGTGATGTCCTATCGTCTCCGTGCCAGCGGCCTCCAGCTCCTTCATGGTATCATACAAAAAGAAATCGATCAAAATGGCATTGACGCTCGTCCCAGGGTGGTCCCTCTGGATCTCCCGTTTGACGAGCTCAACGCACCAAATACTGCACGCTGTTCTCATAGTTAGCAAGACACTTGGAGAAGTGACATAGTAGTTGCAAAGGCTCACCTCTCAATTGCAACTCCAACCTCGACCCGCTCTCAATAACCCGCTTATCAGTGATAGCCGTCGCCAGCGAAGGGCTATAATACAAACAACCCATGGTGCTGAGGATCTGCGGGACCCGGTAGTCGGCGAACATGGTGATCTTGTCGATATCCTTAAAGGCACCAATGCCCTCACCGTCAAAGCATGCCCAAATGTCGGCCACGAGGATCTGCGCTCTCTTGAGGATTCTCACCGGCTTCCGACGGCCGTCGAACTTGTGCTCATCGCGGAAACAGTCAAAATCGCGGGCGAGCAAGTTCACAAGCCGTGCGGCCGACCCGTTGGCGGCCTCGACCAGTTTCGTCACGCTGCAACTGTACCTCTCATACAAGACAGTGCCGGCTTCCCGCAAGCATGCCAAGCGTTCCTCAAGAAGGGGCATCTCCTCCTCCGTCTTGGAGCGGAAGACGTGTCTGAGAACCTCCAAGTTGCATTCGTCCTCGCTCTGCCAAAAATCGGAGCTGGTGATGGGGATGCCTTCCTCGAGGGCGCGCTGCAGCGAGGCGACCATGCTCCAGTAGCCCGTCCAGGTCTTGCCGCGATACTCGACGGCGTACCTCTCGTCCTCGGGCTTCTCTGACCAGAAGCAGAAGTTGAGCAGGTCCATGGTGAAGATGAAGGCGGCGGTGCTCTCGTCTTTAGTCTTTGGGTGCAGCTCGTGCTCTGCCCAGGTGGAGGTTGAGTACTTCTTCTGTTCCATCTGGGCGTAGATGGTGGCGGCGGCCCTCTTTGTGGCCCTCATGTCGATGGCGACGTCGATGGAGTTGTCGTAGACGAACTCGGCGCCGTCGAGGACGCCCGTCTCGGGCTCATCGTCGATGTTGAGCTTCCCCTGGAACCGCTGGCGGAGGAGGGCCAGGAGTTCGAGGTCGGGCTCGTCGTCGGACATGATTCGGTTAGTGTGTAGTGCCCCGCGGTGAGATGCTTGCAGGCGGTATTATCTGCTTGGAGAGAGCCGCAGGAATACGACCCTAGAACTGGGCTTGACTGCACCTTTCAGATGCTTCTAGCCGGCGGCAATGCAGTAGGATCTTTCACAGAGCTTGGGCGACGATGAGGGCAAGAATCGCAGGACTAAGGCTTTGAACTAGGCGGTAAAGAAGAGACCCATATCGCACCGACCCGGTTGTTTTTTGTTGGATCAAAAGGCGGGATCACAAGCGGCGATAATCCCAGAGGACCCCTCCGAGTGAGTGACCTACGATCTCGTCACTTCAAGGATACCTGTGAACCCCGTTTCTGAGGTGAGCTTCCAACCGGCTGCTTTCCACGTGAAAGGGGATGAGAAGCGGCCCTACCACGGATACGCAGTAGAGAGGACTCGAGGAACCGGTGGAGGCCCAACGAACCTTCGCTGGGCAAGCGAGGTCGGCCTGTGTTTGGTGAGGTACCTACATAGGTACGGTGTAAGCAGTTAAGGTACCTTACCTACTTTCCAAGGTTCCAGAGGTAATGGAAAGGTGAGGTACTTTAGGTAAGGTACCGGACTATGAGCAGGCGTCGAGTGTTTCACGGTGACTGTAGGGTGCATTAGACCGCTGAGGTTACAGCGTGCTCCAGCAAGCTTCCACTGGCAAGCGAGAGAAACCCGCCTTTATCTGCCAATCAGGACTCGAGCGCGGAAGTTCCCCAGGAACCAACAGCTCCAATCCCTGCTGGGATCTCGTCACCGGCTGCCGGTATTGGCTGGAACCTTGTGCTAGGCGATCGCTCCTTCCGCTGACCTCAGGGAAAACCTCAACCTTGGAACCTTCCTCTTCGCAGCCTCGCTCCCGTGCTGAAACCACCCGCCGCCGTCGTTCCATCCCACCTGGCGCGGCTTATTTCCACCCTCAACTTCCTCTTCCCAAACCACGCGATCGCACCCATCTTTTCCCTTTCCAACCCATTGACACGTCGACGCACGTAGAACGGACATCTCAACAACACTGCGATCGAACGAAAGCCCCAATGGATTCCACCGCGGAAGCAGGAGCTGCACCTGCAGCAACCGCGGCAGAGGCGACAGTGCCCGCCGCCGCGACGGCGCCTACACCAGCATCAGCACCACAACAACAGCAGCAGCAACCAGCACAAACGGAAGCCATCCCCGTCGCTCAACCACCCGCGCAAACGACGCAGCAGCAACAGCAACAAAAGCCGCCGCCGCCGCAGCAGCAGCAGCAGCGACCTCCCGCCGTGCAGACGCGTGATCGATTCTTCCAGCAATCGCTCGGCGGCTCATTGAACGCCAATGTGAAGAAGGTACGTCGCAACCCTCGTCAGAGAGCCCCGGCGCATCAGACCACGCGACCTACCTAGCATCGCGACTTTCATCCAACGTCGTCCCCCTTACCTATTCCAAAAGCAGCCAGTTTCCTCCCGATGATGGGTTACAATGCAATTGAGGAGTCAATGGAGCTAACTTACAACACGCAGGCGCGCGTTCTCATGGTTGGAGCTGGCGGTATCGGATGCGAACTACTCAAGAACATCGTGCTTACGGGTTTCGGTGAAATTCACGTCGTCGACCTCGACACCATCGATTTGAGCAACCTCAACCGACAATTTCTCTTCCGACACGAGCACATCAAGAAGTCCAAGGCATTGGTATGGTACCAGAAGCAGTGATATAGGTGTGGAGAGTATTGCAATACTGACTTACAAAAAGGTGGCCAAGGATGCTGCGCAGCCCTTCAATCCCAAGGTCAAGATCGTCGCGCATCATTCCAACATCAAGGACGCCCAATTTAACGTCAAGTGGTTCCGCGACTTCCACATTGTCTTCAATGCGCTGGATAACCTAGAGGCCAGACGGCACGTCAACAGGATGTGCTTGGCTGCGGACGTACCTCTCATCGAGAGCGGCACGACGGGATTCAACGGCAACGTCCAGGTCATCAAGAAGGGTGTTACCGCATGTTACGACTGCACGCCCAAGGAGACGCCCAAGTCTTACCCGGTCTGCACCATTCGAAGCAC